CATGTGGTGGGGGCCGGCCTGGAATACATAAGTGGTTCCAGGCCAGCTGGGGCCAAAGGGAGGCCCTGTCTCAAAAAAACCGAAAAAAAAAAAAAAAAAAAGTGCTTGTTGCCAAGCCTGATGACTTGAAAAGGATCTTCAAACCTGCATGATAGAAAGAAAACTGACTTCCCCAATTGTGCACTGACCTCCATAAACACACCTTGGAGTATGCATACACAAACACAAAAGAAATAAAAAAAGGAAGGTAGAAGGACCGGGAGCATAGGTTGCAAGGAGCCAGACTGGCAGTACATGAAAAAGTGAATCCCTGACTTGCCCAGAGCCTTTAGGATACCCTAAGGGGTAAGGAAGCTAGGGGAAAGGGACTAGAGCTGCAGGGCACTGGCACCCCTCCTCTGGTACCTTGTCTGCAGGACCAGTCCCACTCCAACCCAGACTCCACAAGAAGGAAGGAACCTCACACTGGGAGTTGAGGTCTTGAGTTCCAGCCTGGGTTCTGTCCTCGGAACTATTACCCTGTCACCTGTCTGAAGATTGGGCCCAGACATCTTGTGGTCCCTCTCAGCTCCGAGATGACTGTCCCCAGAAATCCTCCAGTTTCCTGTTTGACTACCCCTTACCTCTGAGGGCCACCCTGAGTGGGGCCTCGCTGCTGAAGCGCCGGTGGGCTGAGTTGGTGGCCACACAGCGGTAGGAGCCTGTGTCACCATCCTGAACATCTAGGATCTGGAGAACGCCATTGGGAAGAGTGATGAGCCTTGGGATGGAGCAGAAGGTGCCTGTGAGGGGGCGGAGGCAGCACAGGAGGTGGACCACAAACCACAATGACAGAAATGCAAATTCAAACTATAAAATATAATCTCACTTAGCAGACTGACAAATGCAAGAAGGTCTAATAACAACATCCCAGGTGGACAAGGACATTGAGGAAGGCACCTCTGTCTGGTAGGTGTCATTCCATACACCCTCCTTCCTGGGCAAGCTGGTGACAGTTCAACATCAAAACTGCAAGGTTTTGATCCAGCAATGCCACTTCTAGGACCCTCTACTACAGGTAGTTTCATATATGTGCATGAAACAAATGACAAACAATATTCACTCCAGCAAAGTCCACAAAGCAAGAGACTGGAAAAAAGTCAGTGTCTAAGTATTGGGTGCAACCTGACTTCATGGGTTTGGGGACTTCCTACAGTGGACGGCTCCATGAGTGCTGATGGAGGGCCATCTGCAAAGTGTGTTTGGGTGCCACATGGTAACATGTGTGAGGACCCAAATGCTTATGTATTTGCATGTGTACTGAATGTTCCTATGAAAGGAGGTTGTCTCTGGGGAGGAGACCTGGGATCCTGGGGGCTGGGGAGAGAAGGACCCTACTTTGCATTACATATCCTTCATACAATTTGGATTTAAAAAATAACAACAGGGGCTGGAGAGATGGCTCAGTGGTTAAGAACACTGGCTATTCTTGCAGAAGACCTGGGATCGAATCCCAGCACCCACATGGCAGCTAACAATTGTCCGTAACTCTAGTTCCAGGGGATCCAATAGCCTCTTCTGTCCTCCGTGGGCACTGCATGACACGGGTGCACTTACATGCAGGCAATACATGCATACACATAAAATAAAAATAAAATATTAAAAAAATAGTAACAACAAAAACCTCTTACCTAGCTGGGTGTGAAAGCAAAGGCAGGTGTATTTCTGTGAGATCAACGCCAGCCTGGTCTACATAGTGAGTTCCAGGCCAGCTGGGTCTTTACGGAGACCCTGTCTCAAATCCAACCAACAACACACACACACACACACACACACACAATCTCTTACCTATGTTCCCTCTTCTTTCCCTAACACTAAATCCTCTTTATTCACATTGTCCCATTTGACCCTCAAAAGAACCACAAGAGAGGGCTGGAGAGATGTTTCGGTGGTTAAGAGCAATTGCTACTCTTGCAGAAGACAGGGGTTTGGTTCCCAACACCAACACCCACATGGTGGCTAACAACCATGGGTAACTCCAGTTCTGGGGACTCCAACGTCCTCTTCTGGCCTCTGTGAATATGTTATGCACACAATGCACAGCTATAAATGCAAGCAAAACACTCATACACATAAAATAAAAATAAATACATTAAAAATATTTTATTATTTTTATTTATGTATATTTGTGTATTGCCTGCATGTAGGTAAGTACACCCGTGTTGTGCGATGGCTGCAGAAGACAGAAGAGGCTGTCAGATCCCCTGGAACTAGAGTTACAGACAGTTGTTAGCTGCCATGTGGGCGCTGGGATTCGAACCTGGGTCTTCTGCAAGAACAACCAGTGTTCTTAACTGCTGAGCCATCTCTCCAGCCCCCAATAAATACATTTTTAAAAATTATTTTTATTTTATGTGTACTAGTGTATTACCTGCATGTAGGTAGATAGGTGCACCTGTGTCATGTAGTACCCACAGAGGTCAGAAGAGGGCTTTGGATCCCCTGGAATTGGAGTTACCGATGGTTGTTACCTGCTGTGTGAGTGCTGGGAATTGAACCTGGGTTCTCTGCAAGAGCAACCAGTGCTCTTAATCTCTGAGCCATCATCTCTCCAGCCCCAAATAAACTTTTTAAAAAAGAACCCCAAGAGCCAAATACGCCTTTAATCCCAGCACTTGGGAGGCAGAGGCAGGCAGGTCTCTGTGAGATCAAGGCCAGCCTGGTCTACATAGTGAGTTCCAGGCCAGCTGTGGCTGAAAGGAGACCCTATCTGAAATTTTTTTTTAATTTAAATGGTGTTAGAACGAGTGAAGTCATGCAGATGGCTGTGAGCACCTGGTGTTTGGGAAACATCAGTCTCATTCATGACTGGTTTCTATGGAAGAAAAAAAATATCCCCTACTATTAGAAATTGGTACAAGTGGGGCTGGGAATGAAGGTCAGTAGGTAGAGTGCTTACCTACTATGTATGAGGCCTGGGTTTGATCCCCAGCACCGTATAAACTGGGCGTGGAAGGAAAATCAGGAGTTCAAGGACAGCCTGGGCTACATAATAAGTTCAAAGCTAGCCTAGGTTACCTAAGATACTATCTTAAAAGAAAGTACCAGGAAATTGCCTTGGGGTTTAGTCTTTATGGTTCATTTAAAAAATGCATACCTCAGGCAGGTTGTGAAGTCGCATGCTTTTAATCCCAGCACTTGGAAGGCAGAGGCAGGCGGATCTCTGTGAGCTCAAGGCCAGCCTGGTCTGCATAGTAAGTTCCAGGCCAGCTGGAACTACAGGGAGACACTGACTCAAAAAAAAAAAAATGTGTACCTCTCCCCTCCTGACAGAATATATTTGTTAACTGCACATTCTCACAGCCTACTCCAAGACATGTGGACTCCGTCAACCACTGAGCTGATTTTATGAATAGCATAATTGCACATATATTATATCTGGGCACATGTAAAAATACATACCTTGGCCATAATCAAGTTGCTGTTTTAGACATTTCTTTATTCTCTGACACAATGTGCTGGGACATGTGAGGCTAGCTTATTTATAGATGAGGATCACTTTTCAGAGGACTTAGTGGCAAACACTCCTGGAGCTCGGGAACTGGCAGCTCCAGCCTCGTGGGCAAGGCCTGTCCCTTCATGGAGTGATGCCTGAATTAGATTCTGGGATGGAAGAGCTGAACCCCACTGCTTTGCTGAGGCCAGCTTGGTCTACATGAGTGAGTTCCACACCAGTCTGAGACCCTGTCTAAAACAAAACAAAACAAAACAAAAGCCTAACGATAAGAGGAAAACAAAAACAAATAGGGCCAGGTGCATAGGCACAGGCCTGTGATCTCAACAGTGGGGAGGCTGAGGAAGGAGGATCATAAGTTTGAGGCCATCCTGAGCTACACAGCAAGACTCTGGGCTCAAAAGTTAACAGTGGTTCCTCCTTTTTTGTTATATGAACTTTTATTTTTTTATTTATTTTTATAATTTGTGTATGAGTGTTTTGCGTGCATGTATATAAGTGCACCTATGCATACAATGCACATGGAAGTCAGAAGGGAGTGCTGGGTGCCCTGGAACTAGAGTTACATACAGACAGTTATAAGCCACCATGTGAGTGCTAGGAACTGAACCTAGGTCCTCTGTAAGAGCAGCCAGTGTTCTTAACTGCTGAGCCATCCTTCCAACCCTATATGGATTTTTAAAATGCACCTTTGGTCCAGGATGAAGTTTAGTTGATAGAATGCTTGCTCAGCATGCTTGGTACTCAAGCCCTGGGTTCAATCTCCAGCACCACTCTGTGTGGGGGTGTGTGGGGGTGCATATCTTTAATCCCAGCACACGGGAGGTAGAGGCAGAAGGATCAGGAATTCAAAGTTATCCTTGGCTAATATTAAGTTTGAGGTTAAGTCGAGCTACATGAAACCTTGTCTCACAAAAACCTAAAACAGGTGCTGGGGAGATGGCTCAGCAGTTACGAGCACTGGCTGCTCTTGCAGAGGACCCAGGTTCGGTTCCCAGCACTCACATGGTGGCTAACAACTGGCTGTAACTAGTTCTAGGGATCTGATGGCCTCTTCTGACCTCTGTGGGCATTGCTTGACACAGATGCATTTACATACATGCAGGCAATACACTCATGCATAAAAAAATAATAAAATAAATAACCTAATATGATATAAAGACTACACTTTGGAGTTTATTTTGTTTCTTTGCTTGTTTTGCTTTGTTTTGTTTATTGAGACAGGGTCTCACTATGTAGCTCTGGCTGGCCTGAACTTGCTATGTAGACCTAGCTGGCCTTGAACTCAGAGAGATCCACCTGCTCTGCCTCTTGAGCACTTGGATTAAAGGCATGTGCTGCCACATCCAGTCAAAGACCATACTTTGGGAAACCACAATCTAATCGAACCTTTGCCCGCTGTTTCATTTCACAGATGTAGGGAGAACAGGACTGGGTGAGAAGTGATGCTGAGGCAACAGGATCTCTTATGTTGACATTCACAGTCACAGAAGTCCTGTGGTTTTTCTATACCTTCCATCCTAGCCACTCAAGCAAAAGTCAACAAGCTGGGATGGCCCAGCAGTTAAGAAGTGAGTCCCTAGGCTGTGTTTCTGAGCCCAAGTGATTCCACTTCCAAGTAGCAGGGGAGAAAGATGCAGCTCATAGCTAGAGTTGCAGGAAACTGTCGGATGACTGGCCAGGAAAGGCTTTTAGAATCACATTCCCAAAGATGCATGAGGATTCAAAGAGTGAGGATTGAGACTTGAAGTCAATCCAAAGACACAGAAGCAGTGAGCCTCTTTGTTCTGGCCTGATTTGTGTGCATCAGGACCTGCCAGGGGGCCACAGCAGGGGAAAAAGTCCTGGTCCACCTCTGCTTCTCTTCCAACCTGGAATCCTTCCCTGAGATTGTTCCACCTGGTCACTGCTTCCATATGAAGAGAGTTGGATGAAACAGGAGAGATCCTATAGCCCACTTATCATATGGCTGCACCTAACGGTGAAACTGAGAAAGGAAGAGAATTTGGGCATCCAAGGGGAAAGTCTAGAGCAACCTTGGAAAGAGCAAACCCTGAGCGGACATCATTCTGCCAGTGGCTCCTGGTATGGCTGTAGATAGACCACAGCAGCTCTTTGGCTTTTAGTTCCCCGCAATAAAGCAAGTTGAATGTTCAGAAGGGCTGGAGGTTTTCTCCAGGCCCATGCACCCCAACCTGATGGGTGGCTTCCCTCCCAGAGAGGACGCCTTCTTGTCTGCCTTCTCCTTGGGACCAGAAATAAGCTAGGAGTCACACAATGGTTGGCTCTCCAGTCAGTTAGGTGAATGGAGCTACCCTGGCTGCAAGAATCCAAGTTTTAAGCATGTCCTAGAGCCTTCTGCCCTGTACACTGGGACAGATTCCCTTTTGGGACACTCACCGAGGCTCCTCAGGCAATGTCACCTGGTCCTTTTCCCAAGTAATGATGGGGGCTGGCAGACCCTCGATGTGGCACTCAAAGCGAGCTGTCCCATTCTCCTCCACTGTCTGAGGCTCCGGGTGCAGAGAGAAGTGTGCAAGTGCTGGGGATGAGCACAGTGGGAGGGAGGGAGGGAGGGAGGGAAGGAGGGAGGGAGGAAGGGAGGGAGGAAGGGAGAGAGAGAGAGAAACAGCAAGCACAATGACACACCACACAGAAACACGGAGTCATGGAAACATACAGTCCAACAAATCCAGGCTAAGGGAAACAAAGTTGGAGAGTGGAGGGAGGTAGCAGAGGGATAAGAAGTGATGACTGGTCAGATGTTACTGGCAGATTGAATTCTAAGGTTCCCTCAGTCCAACATCATTGTCAGGGTCTCACTCTAATAAGATGCACATTTTCTGGTGGCTTGTGCCTCCGGAGAGCCCCGAGCAGGACAATGGGGCTTGGCTGTATCCCCTCTGCACCCTCTGAACTGTATGGGCGGGGGGGGGCTCCTGAAGAGATACCCTTGAGCCCTGACCTCTTTCCTGGTAGACAGCACAACCCTATACTCTAGAACTCAGAGGGCAGGGAAAGGAGGGCAGGAGAGTGGTGACAAGCTGAAGGAATACTGAACAGTAAGGGCAGGCAACACCAGGAGGGGACCCACTGAGCAGGACAGGACAGGAGGCAGGGAAATGAGGGATGGGTTCCAGAGGTAGGTGCTGGTACAGGTAACTAACTGCAGAACTGCTCCCCGCCCCCCCACCCCTCCAGGTCTCTGTCTCACCCCAGCCCTAGATGCAAGCACTTACTGGCAAGCTTGACCACAGCAACTTGGCTGGCCACTACTCCCAGAGGGCCATGGGCCAGACAGGAATAACTGCCCTCAATAACCTTCTGGGACCTAGGGGCTTCCTCATCATTCCTGTCTTCAGGTTCCAGACGTGAGGACAGCCACAGGGAGCCATTGGGGAGCAAGTGTAGGTGATCATGCTCCAGCATGACATCCCCATCTTTGTTCCATGTCACCCTGCTCGGTGGTCCCGTGGCAGCAGCCCCCAGACTACAGTCCAGCACCACAGCCTGCTTGGGGCCCAGGATCACTTGAAGTGGCCCTATGTCACAGCTCAGCTCAACAGTTGTCTTCTGGGGTAATGGTAGCTCCCCTGTGTGGAAGAAGAGGCACCAAGGCCATTAGTGTGTGATGTCCTTGCTCCTGAGCCTGCATGTAACCTGGGTCTGGGGCCAATCACTTATGGAAAGACTTGTATCTGAACCCAGTTCTTCCCTTACTGGCTATTCCTGTTCTTCTTGGCTCCCATCTTTCCTCTGTTTGACTTCACACTCCCCCCCCCATAAAAAAAAAAAACGCTTAGTTCACAACATTGTTCTTCTTGGCCCCCATCTTTCATCTGACTTCACATCCCCCCTATAAAAAAAAAACCCTCAGTTCACAACAGCACTATTACAACAGCCAAAAAGTAAACACCACCCAAATGTTCATTTTTCACCTGAGTGATAAATTTGTTACTCAGCTAGCAAGAGGAATGAGGTATGGTGCATGCTATCACATACATACATGGATGCTATCACATGGATGAACCCTGAAAACTTAATACCAAGTGAAAGGCACCAGTCATCAGATGCCACATACTCATGACCTCATTTCCATGAAATGTCCAGAAGAGGCATATCCATAAAGACAGAAAATTAATCGTTGCCAGGAACTGTGGGCTAGCATGGGACTGACTGCTAGCAGACATGAGGTTCCTTTTTGATGAAAATGTTCTAGAATTAGACAGTGGTGAACACTACACAATTCTGTTAGTATATTAAAAACTAAGAGGCAGGAGGCCACCGGGAGATGTGGCCTAGATAGGTTGTGCTTGCTTAGCATACATGAGGCCTGGGTTTCTCTCCATAATCACATAAACCAGATATAGTTGTGCACCCCTGTAATCCCAACAGTCCAGAGGTGGAGGCAGAAGAATCAGTTCAGGGTCATCTTCATCCTCAGCTACATAGCAAGTTGGAAGCCAGCCTGCACTACGTGAGACTCTAACTCAAGATAAAACTTAACAACAACAAAAAAAAACACTTGTACATTACATTGTGAGTGGAGAATTCTGAATTGTATCTTGGTTAAAACACACACACACACACACACACACACACACACACACACAGATTCCTTCCTCATAGGGCTATGGTGAGAATCCACTGGGATGATGTGTGAGGACAGCGTAGCATTGCCTGGCACAGGACCATGGCTCAGTAATTTCACTCCCTCCCCTGGCACCTAACAGATCATCCCCATCATTACCCAACCAAATACACAGCACAAGCTGGAAAAATGTTGTAGCTGGGCAACACTGAGAATGTACTGAGTATAAAAAGAGAATGTGGACCGGGCGTGGTGGCTCACACCTTTAATCCAGCACTTGGGAGGCAGAGGCAGGCGGATCTCTGTGAGTTCAAGGCCAGCCTGGTCTACATAGTGAGCTCCAGGACAGCTGGGGCTACAAAGAGACCCTGTCTCAAAAAGGCCAAAAAAAAAAAAGAGAGAATGTGCACATGGGTGAATACATGCATGTCCCCTGCAGACCCTAATACGGCTCCTGCCAAAAAGAGAAAATGGGGGAGCCATGGAAGAATGCACATGATCTGAGATCAAGGCAGAATCACAAAGGGCCAGGTTCACATCTTTTTTTTTTTTTTTTTTTTTTTTTGAGCCAGGGTCTCCTTGTAGTCCCAGCTGTCCTGGAACCCACTATGTAGAACAGGGTGGCCTTAAACTCACAAAGATCACCCTGCCTCTGCCTCCCAAGTGCTGGGATTAAAGGCATGCGCCACCACGCCCAGCTGGTTCATATCTTTTTTTAAAAAAAAAGGATTTAAGGGGGCTGGAGAGATGGTTCAGCGGTTAAGAGCACCAACTGCTCTTGTAGAGGACCCAGGTTCGAGTCCCAGCACCCACATGGCAGCTACGAACCGTCCTTAACTCCAGTTACAGGGGAATCCGAAGCCCTCTTCTGACTTCTGCGGCATTGCACGACACCGGTGCACTCACATACATGCAGGCAATACACTCGTACACATAAAATAAATAAAATACTTTAAAAAAAAAGGATTTAAGTTGTGTGTGGTGGCAAATGCCTTTAATCCCACCACTGCAAAGGCAGGCAGATCTCTGTGAGATGGAGGCCAGCCTGGCACACATTGTGAGTTCCAGCCAGCTGAGGCTACAGGGAGACTGTATTAGTCACTTTTCTGTTGCTGTGATAGACACACTGACCCAAGCAATTTATAGAAGGAAGAAGTTACTTGAGCTTACTGTTCCAGGGGAATTACAGTCCATCTTGGCAGGGAGGCATGACAGCAGAGGTGGCTGGAGCAGGAGCAGCAGAAGCTAAACTCTCACATCATCACACAGGCACAGGAAGCAAGAGAGAGACCAGAGATTTGGCAAGGCTTAAGAACTCTCTGAGCCCACCCCCTGTGATGTTCTTCCTCTAGGATAGCCACACCTTCTAAAACCTCCCAAAACAATGCCATCATCTGGGGACAAAATGTCCAAACACTTGGAGCCTATGGGGGCCATTTTCATTCAAGCCACCACAGAGACCCTGTCTCAAAAAAAGAAAAGAAAAAAAAACTCAGAAATAAATAAATTAAATATAAAAAATAAAAATGTTTGTGTGTATGAGTGTTTACCTGCAGGTACATATGTGTACCAAGTGCATGTAGCACCCATGGATCCCTTAGAACTGGAGTTACAGCCAATTATGAGTTAACATGTGGGTGCTAGGAACTGAAGCCTGGTCCTTTGTAAGAGCAACAAGAGCTGTTAACTGGGGCAGGCCAGGTGGTACTCACCTTTAATCCCAGCACTTGGCAGAGGCCAACCTGGTCTACATAGCTAGTTCCAGGGCTACACAGTGAGCCCCATCTCAAAAAGAGGAAAGGAGGAGGAAGAGGAGGACGAGGGCGAGGACGAGGAGGAAGAGGCAACCTTGGGCTACTGAGTTTTTATGGGACAGGGAGACAGCAGGTCAGCTTTGATGGGAGGACCCTCATGGGGAGGACCAATCATTGCTCTATGAATAATAATGACCAGGCTCTGTTGAAATTTTGGTTAAGATAAGAAACACTGGAGCTGGTGAGATAACCCAACAGTTAAGAGCTTTTATTTTTATTATTAATTTTTGAGACAGGGTCTTACTATGAAGCCCTGGCTGGCCTGAAACTATTTATGTAGACCAGTTGGCTTCAAACTTAGAGAACTGCCTGCCTCTGCCTCCTGAGAGCTTGGATTAAAGACATACACCTTTATGCCCAGCCCAAGGTTTCTTCTTATTCTCTGACCTGACTCCTCACTACAAGACAGAATGGCACCATCTGAAAACAGACCAGCAACAGAGGCAATATATTCATCATGAGGCAGATCTGGGCTGACAAGCCACACAAAGCATGACAGCTAGGCAATCAGGAGACCCTTAGTTTTAATCCAGCACCATCCAGCTGAACTATATGGCCTTGAGATAGGCACTTCTTCTGGCTTTGGTTTATTTTTTAAAATATTTTATTATTTTTATGTGTATGTGTGTATTGCCTGCATGTAGGTAAGTGCACCCGTGTCGTGCAATGCCCACGGAGGACAGAAGAGGCTGTCAGATCCCCTGGAACTGGAGTTAGGACAGTTGTTAGCTGCCATGTGGGTCCTGGGATTCGAACCCGGGTCTTCTGCAAGAACAACCAGTGTTCTTAACCGCTGAGCCATCTCTCCAGCCTCGGTTTTAGTTTCTTTAAACATAGCAAGTAATCTCTGGTATTGGTTGTGTAATTATTCACTGGCACAGACACCCACTCCTGAGCAAACCTATAGCTCCAACCACACAAATGTCCCATGCTGATTGATATAACTGTTCCCCCTGTCTGCCACATGGGTCAACACTTAGATACAACCTTCTGTGTCCCCATGTTCCCTTCCCACAGCATTCAGGGAGGAAAAAGACAGTCCTAACTGGCTGAGATAAGGGGTCCAGGGCAAAAGCTTGGGCGTTACTCTACAATGTGAAGGATGGAGGGACAGAAAAACATAATCAGATCACTGCTCTCTCATTCTATCAAGGCTCTGCTGGACATGTCTAGCTTCAGAGCAGGCCTGAGTGGAAATGGGAGGGTCCTAGGGGAGAAGCAGTCCTGCTTTCACTGGGGCATAAGATCAAGGAGATGGCTCAGTTAGTAAAATGCTTGCCATACAAGTGTGAGGTCCTGAGTTTGAATCCGCATCACCTACATCTGTAATTCCAGTGCTGGGGAGTGGGAGACGGGTGGATCCCTGGAGCTCAGTGGTCAGCCAGCTAGACGAGCCCAATTGATGAGATCCAGGTTGAGAGACTCTTTCTTGAAAAATAAGGTGGAGAGCTATTGAGGAAGACACCCAACACTGACCTTCTGGCCTCCAAATGCACACCTATGAACATGTAATACAACATATATGCTCATGCACACATAGAACCATTTAGCGACTCTGAGACTCAGTTTCCACGTTTCAAATGAAAATGCTACTAAGCCTGTGAGAATTCAACCGCTGTGTGTCAGGGATTCAGCCTAGAGCCTGATGGACTGCTCTTAAGGAGCAGCTCTTTCTTCTTTGGTGGGGTGCTGGGGTATGGAGCCAAGGGCTTTGTACATGTTAGGCAAATGCTCTACCACAGAGCTACAGTTGAAGCCCGGGGGACTCATTCTTTTAAAGCCTGGGGTATACTGTAAAGAGCTACACAAATGCTGTTCGCTGTTCTTAGCATCCAGTTCGTTTGCTCTCTAAAGCCCCAGATTCTATGATTCAAATTCACAGTTGTGGAAGGCAAGCCTCGGCTGTCAGCCCAGAGGCTCGCAATGTCAGGGTTCAGTCGCTGAGCAGTAAGCTTCAGTTTCAGGGGAGAAAAAGCCCCACAGAACACGAATCCCCGAAGCCTCCCGCAGCCTCCCCGCCCCCTAAAGCATGTCCGGGGCTTGGAAAATCCCCTGTGGTGCCGAACAAACAATGTGAACAGTTGGGGCCTAAGCAGCTGCTGGGTATGTCAGCAGCCTGGGCTCTGGCGGGCAGGACAGCCGCCAGAGGGGCCGGTGGCTGGCTGGAGAGCCCAGAGGAGCTCCAATT